AAAAACATCTCATCAACAATATTGACTTAAAAAAAAAACATCGAATTTCTCTGCAAAAAACTCAGTAAAACGTTCTCTGCATTTGCGACTCTGAAAAATAACTTCAATAAGGGCATTTACTAGATTTGTATTACTCTCTCGTATATTCAATTCTGTGTATGAACATAACGGTTTGGGGACAATCAGTGGCAGTATTAAGAGTTTTTGTTATCCAAAAAAGATATGTAAGATTAATCTTCGATCTAAACTATAACGAATCATAATGTGACTGTAATTGTATGTTTTCATAATTATCTTCGATTTTCAGCATTAATGTTTTTATATTGACCTGTCTTATGTATATCATATGTACCTAAAAAGATAAAATACATATCTTATTTAAAACGGTTGGCAGTTCATCGATGGCCGATATGATTTCAATTGGTACGAAGGCGATCTGCTGCCCAATTTCATTTCAGACGTTTTGAATCAACCGGATGATGCTGGAGGTAATTTTCACCAATTCTCTCACAAATATGATTCAAAACCCATATTATTAATGTGAGATCATTTAATTTTTCGTTTGTACACAGATTCGGAATCAACCACTACTGATGACGCTGAAGAATATGGTGCGATCGAGTTTTATTTCGATGAAGAGAGTGGAAAAGAACACGACGATAAAGAATAGATGTTTTTTTTCAATTTTTTATCATTTCCTTTTTTGTGTTTTGAAATGAATTTTTTTTTTTTGTGTGTGAATCACCTATAGTGTTTATAAGAACTGTGCTCATAAAAATGATTCTGGAAATAAAAAGGAAACGATTTGTCATCATTATTAATATATAATCAACTTATATTTTTTTGTGAATATACAATCAAAATAAATATAAAAAAAACTTAAATGAGTATTAAACTGAAATGAATATAATTATTATATATCATTACAGGATTGCTGATCCCAAATGGTGATATAGGATTGATACACGAGAAAGAATGACCAAAACAATGATATTCAGTTGCAAGTAATTAGAAATGTACAATATTACATTTTCCTAATTGAACCTACGCTAATGAGAGACAATTTGATTTTATTATTTTTTCATTTCTTTGTTTAATCAATTGTCTCATGTGTAATTGAGAATAAATTGATTCATCATCCGAAAAAAAAATTATCTACATAAATATAATTTTTTTCATTCGAAACAACTAAAGTTCTCAAATAATTATCAAAATATTTTTTTGCGAAAAGTTACGTTATTGGCATATATTGAGGCAAAATGTACTAAAGCGTGCAGTGACCATTCTCACTTCTATTGACTGCTGACTGGAGTGTTTCTATCACAAAAGAGTCTGACTGTCTTTTTTTATAGTTATTTTAGTTAATTTATAGTTGATAGTTTTGGAGTAGCGCCTACGCTATGTGTCCCCATAGATTCCTGTTTTATATTATACTTTCTGGTTTTATACAAATTTTGAGCTTAGAGATAACAGTTTAGAGATGCTAATTGAAATTACCCTTTTGCGCATGTCAGCGCCAGGTGTTCCGGAACTGCTAGTTCTGACTGTACACTAAACTACAACCCATTTTGAAAATATTAGCCTTCAGAAAACTCTTCCATGTTTTCGACGCCAGCTCCTGGACTATTATAAAAGACATTGATAACACCTATTTTGATAACGTTCTAAAAATGGGAGCTGAATGAGCTTCCTGTCATAACGAAATGTGTGATCTCAAATCAAGTACGGCTAGAGAAAGATTGCGCTTCGTCAACGTTTGTTTTCAAATGGAGAAACGCTGTGTTTCCGTATTCGATTATATCACATTTTCTCTGAACGGTAAGTACTGACCGAACACGAGTGTCTGCATCTCTATTTTCCGCGAAACCATTACACGTAAAATCATTTCGGTTATATAGAATTCAGAAGTTATTGCAATAATTCCGCAAAGAAATTTGTTTTTTTATATTATGAATCTTTCAAAGACTATGTGCTCTTTCCGTCATCGACTGTTCAGAACAAAAAAATGATAAAGGCGTCGACAGTTGATGTTTGCCTGGACATAGTGATCGTCAGGTGAAATGGTGGTTCAAGTCGCGAGGCCCGGGCTATCGATTTTCACTGCCTATAGTCCAAACTGCACGTTATCGCGGTTAAACGGTAAAACCTCGTTAATCCTTATCTAGCACAAGTACACCAATTAACTGAAGATGAACCTGATCGAAGAACAGAATTCTGCGAAATCATGACGGAAATCATTGCAAGGCATCCTACCTATCTTCACAATATTTGTTTTAGTGATGAATGTACATTTTTTTTAAACGGCAATGTTCACAGACAAAATTGTCGTTATTGGAGTGACACCAACCCTGACGTGTTCCGTGAAACACATACCCAATATCCAGAAAAAATTAACGTTTGGGCAGGAATATTGGGAAACTATTACAATATGGTCTTACAATGTACCTTTATTTATTGATTAATATTCAATAGGAGAACTGTATTTAATATGCTGGAAACTACTGTTGACCCTCTCATCACTAAAATCGTCGAAGCGAATCCTAATAAATTCGATATAGATATTGTATTCTAACAAGCACCACCACATTTCTCCAGACAAGTAAGAAACTATTAGGATACTACTGTTCCGGTCGTTGGATTGGCCGACGAGGTCCTACAGAATGGCCAGCCTGCTCGCCAGATCTGACACCTTTGGAATTTTTATGGGGCTATTTGAAACAAAAGGTTTCAATACTGCTTCAATATTGGATATACGGCGGAGGAAAATAAATATATTGTATATTGACGTTACTGTGTTCGAAAATGTTCGGCTTGAAATATCCGATAGGCTGTTCATATGTCAAGAAGTACAAGGCAACCATTTCGAGCATCTTCTGAACTGACCTCAAGCATATTACCTCATATTATGTAGTTAAATGTCAATGTATTCAGGCAAATATTAAAAGTTCCGCCATTTTATAGTAGTTGAAGATATTGACAATATATTCTAGGGTTATGAAGCATTTGTCAGTAGCTTCAAAAAGATGTGTTACAAGATCCCCCTTTCTATTTAATTTTTTTCCCAGATGTCGCCCAGTCGCCATCTTGAAAGTTTCATCTGTTAATTTCACTTCAAAATAAAGTATTCCTGCATTAATTTCATTATCCCAAATTTAAATTTTTCGCGTTCAAAAAAATAAAAGGGGGGGACATTAAAGAAATGCCCTGTATATTTTATCATATTAATGTCATTGTATACATCATCATCATATACGTATACACCCAAAATGGATGTATTTTGTTGATAAAAAGTGAAATAAATAATAAATCGCTATAACGACTTAGACTTATACTAATACATGCCATTATAAGTGTTTCGTATGCGAGAAGGTTCATTCTTCCTTAAGTGGAATTCACGTAAATGATGTCCGTTCAATTGAATGGAGTCCCCAAAATCACCCAGAGTTGAAGGTTTTGTTTTCTCTCACTGAAAGAAGCTGTTATATGCATATAATATAGCAGTACTCAATAGATCAAGTGCTACTAGATGTACTTAATGTATTTAAAATAAAATTGTATACTTCTGGCTCCTATACATATTGGTCACTACAACATACTATCAGTTAGGCCAAAATCGACGTTAACTGCTCACATAGGTAGGTTAGGTCCAAAAGTCAGTGGGTCCATTTGACCCTCCACTGTAATCCACAAGAGTTTATTGTGGCTCAAATTTATTGAAACTCGACCAAATAAATCCAATGTTTGAACTGAGCCGATTACTTCATTGATTACTCTGTCAAACGATGAAAACTTGATTCGGTTCGCGGTGGGCCATGCACAAAATAGTCGTGTTCCGCTTGGTTATAGGTTTCCATATGTTTCGTATTTCTACGCTAGCTTGGCTAAATGCGTTGTGGAACAACATATATGCGGCTTCTTTGAATTTTCTCCTAAACCAGTGTTCCCCCTTGTCAATGATTTCAGCTTGAGACCATTTGATGTTATGTTGATGATTCCAAACATGCTTTTCTATTCCTGATTTGCTAGTTTCTCCTCACTGTGTGTTTCTCGTTCTCGGCAATGCGAACTTTCGATGGCCTCTTAGTTTCACCGATGTATGATTCTCCGCTCTCGCAGGGTATCCGGTTAATGCAATTCTTGGAATCGCAGTCCGCGTTTGCTTTAATATCCTGGTGGAGAATAATCTACCCTGAGGTTAACAGACGACCATGATACATTTTCCTCATTGAAGTGAGTTTGCGACTACCTTGGTTAGGTAGGTGAGCAACCCTAATATGAGGCTTGCGAAGTAGGTATCCTGTGACGCATTTCAGGGTTACGCCCATATCTGCACCTATCAGCCAAGAGGCGCTCTCTTAATCCCCTCAGGGTTCCACCCAAGACCGAATATGCCGAATTCGTACCTGTACATTATCTATTGAAGTTAGCTGTACACAACGATACATAAAATTCACATGTATACATGAGGATGCCCTTGGGGGACGCCCTGTATCTGGAAGGTTCCATTAACGATACTTCGGCAGGAGTATTCTGAGACCCCCAGCTGTAGCGCGAATCTGTTCAGGTTTGCAAACGTAATGACATCACTGAGGTCTGTTGAGGAGTTTTTTTTTGGTTGTCTTATCGGTTTAGTGGCGTACCATAGAAGATATCGTGGACGAAAACTGCGCGGTGTAATTATAGTAGAAATTGGTAGAAATTTTATCAAAAATTTCTACTAGTAACTGAATTCTGAACATTGATTTCATTTCATTCCATTTACATAAAAAATGAATTAGAAATAAAATGTTTCAATTTGTTAACACGCAATAAAAAAAAATGAGATGTTTTGAATGAAAAAAAGGAATACGTACAAACTTATAAATTATGTTTTTCGTTATTATGAAGTTTGGTCATTCTCTAAAACTATCCCTTATAAGTCTTCAATTCGGGAGGTTAAATATGTGTTACCACAGGTGATGGGCAGACGGACGCAAGTATAGATTTATTTTCTATTTCAGTGTTTCAATTCCATGAGTTCAGAGGGACAAAAGTGTGGTCTGGGTTCTTTATTGTCGATGTCCTGCAGAGGAAGAGCGGAAGCTTTCGCCAGAAGTCTACAATCCAGGTTGCGATCCCTGGGTTCTCACGATGATAACGGCTCATCGAACGAAGGCAGCTGGTTGGCTGCCAACGAAAATCAAGTCGCGATCTCCCAGCCCCGCCATAACTTAGACCTGGATTTAGATCTGGAGTCTCCAGCCAGTCCCGTGCCAGAAACAGAAGAAGACGAAAGGACATCATTGATCAACAGAGACAATCTCCATGTTAATATCTCAAATCTAAGGTAGAATTGAATTTGAGAAATATGGTCAGCACCTCAGAGTAATAAAACACAAACACAAACACATTCTTACATTGAAGGCAGCATAACTTGTTTGTTTACGGAAGTAAGTTGGATTATAAAACAGTGGCGGTTGGTTTACTTGATAATCGGAGGGATAGTTTATGTTTATAAAATGAATCATTTCAGGTGGAAATGTATTCTGTTCAAATAGTTCCTACACGAAATCCGATTTATTATTAATGAGGCCAGTTTTTGTACCACCTACTAGATTTTTATTTATGTAGGGGTTTATAATAAAACGCGTGGTTTACTGGGTTAAAATTGAATTATTTCAAATGAACTAATTCATAGCAATGATAAATGTTAATTTTTAATTATAGAATTCGTCAGCATGAATTATTGAAAAAAAAAATAATGTCGGTCCACAAAGACCCGTAGATACCAATTTCGAATGAAATCACATAATAATATCAAACCTCAATCGTAATTATAAATATTCATGATTTCTAATCGAAAATTCTTTATATCGGACCTAACAAACCGTACCGCTTGTTCATCAAATCTGAGAATAA